GAAAATGATTTGATGGATAGGGTTATTTGAGGAAAAAAAAAAAGACTCCAAAATGTAGTGTTATAATTGGAGACTAGTTTATCAGTCCGGGCAACTGCCGGGCACTGTTTAACATGTTTAAAAAAAGAGTACATAATAGAAAGAAAAAAGTATTTTGCTATGATAAAAAAATTAACTGAACATAAAATTAAATTAATCTATTGTAATTTTAAATATACGCATAAAATTATAGAATTAAACCGATTGTCAATTTTTATTCTAATATTTACTTCCAAAAATAGATGCCTAAAATTTATTGACCCATAAAATTAAATTAATCTATTATGATAACTTTAAATAAATGCCTAAAATTATGGTATTTCTTTACAACTCTTGAAAGCAATTGTCACGTGACTTTTATGGAGTTTAGGTGGGAAATTTTTTTTTTGTACGTGGCAGCTGCTTTTAATAAGTATAAATAGAAGTAAAAAATAGGTATAAATAACATCTAGTAGAAATTGATGGAAAGCCAGTTATTCATTCTGCTGGGAAAATATCTTGATCCGACCAAACCTTCCAAAAATAAGATCAATAATAGGCAGCAAGTCCTATCATCGAAAATTCAATTAGAAGCGAACCAATTTGACGCAGTACCATTTCTCACATCGACAGATCAAAATATCAATTGCAAGTTAACGGAATATTCTAGACCCCCCACATGGAAATTGAGCCTTCGCAGATAGCCAGCAAGGCAAACAACTACATGTCTAAAGAATTGGAAACACATTAAGGCTCCGTTTGGTTGGAATGAATTGGAATTGAATTAGAATTACAATCCAAAAAAATTGAAATTAAAATATTGGGATTGCAATTCAATCTCAATTTATTTGTTTGGGAGATCTTAATAATTGACTAGAATTAAGGTTCTAATACCAATTCTTGCGTTTGGATGCTTCAAAATTTGGATACTTTAGAATTGAAATTAATTTGTTACTAGATAATTAATACAATTTATACTTCATGTCAAATTTTTTTTTAAAAAAAAAACTTAATTTCCTATGTCAAAATAATCTATCACGGATATGTATAAAACAAAAAAAAATCATTGTGTACATGTATATTAGATTACTTTGTTGTCCTTTAAACTAATCCTTTTTGAAAAAATAATTTTTTATTTAATTTGCTATATTATTTTGTGATTTATTATGTACACACTTTTTTGTAGGAAACAAAAGAAACATATTGCGTAAGAATTATTACTATGATATGTAAACATCCTTGAGTCCCTTTCTTTTATTACTTTTCAAAATTTTTTAATTTTTGGTTTATTGATTTTTTCCCCTATATTAGTAAAAAATATTATATATAATATAAATTCATTTTATGAATATTAATTTCTATTATATATGTTGACATTATTTTTTGGAATTTGCTTAAAATTTTTTAGTTTTAGTATATAGTTATATATGAAAAAAAATATACTTAAAATTCAACTTACAGAATCTTTGATGAAAAAATGCCATGTATTATTTAATATATATATATATATATATATTAATATAGGTGTACAAATGGAACAATTATAAAATATTTTTGAAAATTTTATGGTGTTTACTGTGTCAGTATATAATAAAAAATTCTAACCCAAAATTAAAACATTTTTCTATTAATTTTTTTGGGACAATTATACTTTTGATTTTTTCTCAAAAAAATATAATGTTAATTTTAGATTGATTTCGTTGATGATGATAATAATAATAATAATAATAATAATAATAATAATAATAAGAAGAAGAAGAAGAAGAAGAAGAAGACAAAAAGCTGAAAAAAAGAAAAACAAAACGAAAAGAAAAAGGGCAAGGGCTGAAAGCCAAAAAAAAAAAGAAAAGAAAAGAACTTAAGGGAAAAAAGGAAGAGATGACCCGTTTATGTTATAACCCGGAAATGAGCCGGTTTAGACCCGCGAATTTTTTTTAATCCCTTGAATTTGAATTCCAATTATTTACCCCCACAAAAGAATTAAAATCAAAGAATTGAACCCAAAATAGTATTGCAATTCCAATTCTTCCACTTCAATTTTTGTTAACCAAACACAAGAATTGGAATTAAAGAGCTCCAATTCCAATTCTTGGTCTCAATTCAATGCAACCAAACGGAGCCTAAGGCTCCGTTTGGTTAGATTGAATTGTAATTAAATTAGAATTACAATATTATTGAATTGAAAATAAGATATTAATATTGTAATTCAATCTTAATTCTTTTATTTGGAAGATTTTAATAATTGACTAGAATTAAGATTCTAATACCAATTCTTGCGTTTGGATGCTATAGAATTTATATATTAGAATTGCTTGTTGTCTAACTAATCAAAGCAATTCTAACTTTTTTTATTAAAAAAAATGCATTTTTAGTATATAATTTGTTGTATCAATTTTGTAATTAATTATATACAATAGACAGTTATGATTTTTTTTTTAATTACGTGAGGATTATTAATATAATAATTAAAACTTCCTTCTTCTCAGCCAACACACAGACAAATAATAAATAAAATCTCCTTGTTTCTCTTCGTTTTATTAGATTTTAAAATTTTTAATTTCTAACTTTTGGATTTTTTGGGTAATTTATTCGCATCTTTTGATGAAAAATTTAATATTTAATATAAAAATTAGTTCATACATATTAGTATTCTTTGATTAACTACTCTTTCTGTCCCAAAATTATTATTCATTTTGGATTTTTTTTTAATATTGTACTAAAGATATAATTGATTATGTATGTATAAAAAAATTTTATTACAGAAATCATTTATGTGAAAGTTATGATCAATAAACAAATAAGTCCCGCATCAAACATCTTTTTTGTTTTCTCATTTTATTTTTTAAATTTTTGGAACTTTTGAAATATTATATTTGCACAATCCTAAAATAATTGTCCAATTTAAAATTTTATTTAAAGTGAAATGGTAAACCGAACAATTATTTTGAGATCAATGAAATATTTGTTTTAGTGCACAAAATGTATATAACAAATACAAAGAACTTTTTTGAAAATAATGAAGAAAAAATTTATATCATTTACTATCATATAACTCTTCCTTAATCGGAGAAAATGCAATTTCTCATCAATATTTTTAAATATATTTTGGGTATGGAAATATTTTAATAAACTTTTACAATAAAATTATCTTATTGAGTTAAAAGAGATAAATTTTGCTGATTTGATAACTATCACAATGTTATATTTCATATTTTTTAATTCATTATATAAATATTTTTTTAAAAATGGAGAATAAGACGAAAAAAAAAGAAGCACACATTGTGCGGACTTGGAGGGAGACAAAAAAAAATAATTAAAAAATCAAAAACAAAATGAGGACCTCCGCGTGAAAGAGGGATCTTTCTTTGTGGTGCGTGATTTTCACGTGCCAGCCCTTTCTTTCAATTTGCTTGATATTTAGCCCGTTTTTTATAACCCGGTTTTTGCCCCGGTTTGGACCAGCGAATTTTTTTAAACCCCCGGAATTCGAATTGCAATTAGTTGCTCCCACAAAAGAATTGAAAATAAAGAATTGAACCTTATCTTGAATTATTTTTCTAATTCTAGAACCTCTATTTTTGTCAGCCAAACACAAGAATTGGAATTAGGGGCCTCCAATTCCAATTCTTGAGTCCAATTCAATCCAACCAAACAGAGCCTAAGTACAGTTAATAACAAAACAACCATTTTCTGTGTAACAAAAATTAGTTAAAAAGAGTATACCAAAGAAGAGTGTTCATTACAATAAAAATAAAAAATAACCACCTTGTAGTAATTTTCTTACTTTAGAAATACCAGATTGTATGTAGTGGCAGTGACAGTACTACAAATGAAATTTCATTTGGAAATCGGATTTAAGTTTTACTACTAGATGAAGATTGAAGTCTTCAAAAATTATAGGTCTGTATTGTTTTCTTTTAGTATGTCTTTTATATACGTATACATTTTCAACTCCATTATTTTACATTTGCAATACTTCCTCCTATCCTTATTATAAGACAAATTTGTCTTAGGTTTGTCTTAAGTTTCACTTATAATGTTTTTTTAATTGAAACAAAAACCTTAAACATATTTTTTAATAATAATAATTAAAAGAATACGACGAACGTAAAAATATATTTTTAAAATTTTTTTTCTAACTAAAAATGCATCCTAAATGAAACGTAAGAAAAATCAGAATGTCTTATAATAAATACGGGAGGGAGTAGCAAAGAACACACGAAAAAAGATGTTGCGTGCAGAACCTAAAAGTGGCCAATTTTTCAATCTCCTCTCCCAAACTCACACCTATAAGAAAAGAACCATCAGATATTTTTTTCCAACTTGAAAGTGCGTGACACACACTCTCCAGCCGTCAACTCCAAGAAGGATAAGTTTCGGTGAAGTCTTTTGATTGGTTCGTAGTTTAAATTTTCAGTTAACGTTAATGGACCTTGAAGAGAAAAAATGGGACCAACCAACATCTTTTGCACGTCGATTTCCATTTACTAGATTTCTTTTTCCAGCGATAAGGCAAGTTACTTGCTAATCTTTGGTTGACTAACTAAGTTGCTCTCCCGAAATTTGATAACATATTCTACATATAATTGTGTGACATTTTATAATTTATCAATTTTTTTTTCTTTGGCACAATTCAACCATCTTTTTTTTCGTTAATATTGATCTATCAAATATGCTTATAAAATTTTTTACATGTTTCTAATAATCTTTAAAAAAAAAAAATATTTGTTTCAGAAAGCGTAACCGACTTCCTCCAATCCTTAGTAGAAGACACACAGATCCGATTTTTCAAGAAATAATTAAAACAATTAAATTAGTTATTCATTAGTAAACTACTATATAACTTATGTTAGAAAGGTTATCATAGTAAAAAATGTAACATACCAATCAAATTAAAATTTATTCCGCCTTATAATTAGAACACGAGAGTACTTTTTGACATAGAGATCCAAGCAAAATACATACAATAAGAATGAAAATATCTGGAGTACGTGGCTTAGTTCTTGCTTTAAATTATTTAAGATAAATCCCTTCCGTCCCACAAAAATAGTCCAGTTTGATAAAAAAATCTTGTACCAAAAAAATAGTTCAGTTTCAAAAAAGTCAAGATTAAAACAAACGAAATGACCAAACTACCCTCAATCAGTCACCAACTATAATTAAAATTCCTTCTTCTCTGCGTTTTTTTCCGGCGAATACTCCTTTCCTTTCACACCTTTATCTCGCCGGTTCTCTCCCAAAATCCTCCGTTTGTCTCTTTCTCCAAAGATATGATTGGAAGCTATAATTAATCCTCTCTCTCTCAAATCCAACAGGTCGTCCACCGCAAAATTGTTTTTGTTGTTAGAGCCAACATTATCGAACGGCTTCTGCTCGAGTTCCGCCTCTCCGGTATGGCCATAATAGCCGCCGACAAAAAAACTCCGATGAAGCTTCCATCTATGCCGCAAAATTTTAACCGAAAAACGAAACGAACGTCGACTGATTGAAGGAACAATACTAGCATCATAAACGTTTTTCTCTGTTTCACCTTTTTCTTTTTTTTTCAAGGATTTCGTTATCTTTTTTTTCTCCTTCTTTTTTGGTGAGGGAGAGGAAAAGCGAGATGATTAGTCGGTGGTTGGAAATGGGGGGCAATGGCCGTCGAACAGAGGAAGTTATAATTACTCAGTGGTCGTCGGCGGTGAGAGAAAGAGAGAGAAAGTAATCAATTCTAATTTTATAATTCGATTAGGATAACAATGGAAGTTTAGTGAATAAAAATGAGTTGTACCTTGATTAGGTTGATCAAATTAAAAAAAATTGTACATTTTAAGACTGAATTATTTTTGTGGGACGAAAGGAGTATAAATTAAAGATCAACTTGAAGGAAGGCTAAATGGATTACAAAAAAAAGGCCATTTTCGTGTCGTCATGTGTCCATTGCCAAAAGAAGCAGTAGAATATGCCAACTATAAAGTTCAACTCTATCTAAAGCAACGTTCTTCAATTGATCAGTTCAAAGAAAAGGAAAGATATTTTTGTAGTTTCATAGGAACCCAAATTTGGATTTCTATTGTGGAACATTCATATTAATTCTTCCCCATGGCTCATATGAATTCTTCAGAGAATTCCGTTCCTCTGCTTCCATCATCGTACAAGATGGAGGCAGAGCAAATTGAGTCCCAGCAGCAACCCAGAAAGCGGAAGAAACGTGGTGGCGCCAAAATTACTGCGTGTATTCTTGGTGAGTTTTTCGTTTTGGTTGGTTATCTTCATCAGTGGTTCTGGTCAGCTTGATTTTTTCTTTTTTTTTTTTTTTATAACTGGTCGGCTTGATGATTAACTCTTTTGGGATGGGTTGTGTTTGAAGAGAAGATAGTTTTGATTGTGCAGATTTTTGACATTTTGTTGGTGTGGTGCTTGTGTCAGTGATAAAATAGTCTTAGCCTCAAAATAAGGATTTTGTTTGTTCTTTAACATTAGACCTTAGTTCCATAAATATTCCGTATTATTCTATTAGAATGAAAAAAGTATAATTCATTGTTCCTGATTAAGCTTTAGTCTAAAGACATTCAAATCTAACCAAAATGCACTAATGTTAGAGTTCAAATATCAAACAAAGGCAACACTTTGTTCCTCCTTTCATTATTATAGTTTCATGTCTTTTTAGTGGCTATTTTTTATTAGTTATTTGTAGTTTCTTAGGGGAGAGTTAATCTTCTTTAATTCTTGATAATAACTTTACTCATAAAACTACTTCACTTACTATTATTGTTTTTTTTTTTTAGAATGACTTACTATTATTGTTAATGACTAATGCTAATCTTGATCAATCATTTTTAAACGAATAATTAGAAAAATCTGAATTACGACTTTCCATGTTGTATGTGTCACATAAGCGATATATTATCCGCATATTCCTATATCTTAATTGACATCATTATTTTTATTTGTATTTTAGAAAGATAATTCACTTTGTTGATCATACAGTAGAACAAATTTGTATGTGTAATTTGGTTAAAGATGTCATTTCCTATCTCTTTGTTTGACCAAATGTTTTATAACAAGCTGATATTTATTGGCATATACTATAATGACAGCCGTTGAAGCATGTGACAAATTAACGGCTTCTGGATTTCAAGCCAATATGATAACTTATCTCACCAAATATCTCAATTTGCCGCTCGTCAAGGCCTCGAATATCATCACCATTTTCACCGGAACTTCCAATTTCACGCCTCTCGTCGGAGCACTATTCGCCGATTCCTTCGCCGGCCGATTCCGGACCATTCTTGTGGGGTCAATTGTTTACGTGTTGGTTAGTCTCTTTGGTGCTTTTTTAACTCGTTGGCTTTATCTCTTTATTGTGAAATTTGGCTTTTTCTACAAACTTCATTTTCTTCGTTTTTTTTTTCCTTCGTTTATTTATCTTTTGCGGAGAACGTCGTTTTCTTCTCTGAATAATTGAAATGGACCAAAACATAATTTTAAGGGTGAATTACTCGTGTGGTCCCTAACCTTAAATGGTCAATTCATTTTAGTTCCTAATATTTAGACATTTTAATAATTTATTCCTCAAACTAAACATGTTTGACTAATCAAAGTCTAATTGGATTCTTTGATCAAACTTGAGTATATGCAACACCTAATAAGCTAATATATTCTTAATGAAGTTGTAATTACATACATTTTGATTCGGCCACACTTGAGTTTTTGTGTTTACTGGCATGTCATTCATTATCGGTGGTCAACATAATAGAGTACTTCTTTCATCACCAAAAATAGTCAATATTGATTTTTGAATTTTTTATAAGTTATCTAGAGAAGTACTAACTTGCAAAAAAAGTTCATGATGAATGATGTGTCACATCATATAAGGTGAATAATTTTTTTTTCACTCTTTTGGTCCAAAAAAATAGTCAAAATTGAGTTTTAAAATTTATATTATTTATAAATTCAAAGCAAGACCAAACTTTCAACTTAATTGTTTTTCTTTTAGTGAAGTTACTTCTTTTTTTTTAAAAAAAAAAAAACCACCCCAGTGGACTCCACTTTAATGTGGGTAAAACCCCTCTTACAACCCCTGATGGGAATCGAACCATGCTCTATTACCAGGAAGGACAACAACTTAACCACTAGACTGTCATTCAATGCAGTGAAGTTACTTCCTAATATGGGCTCTCTCTCTTGTAATAATATTCTAATTTCTTACAAAATTTTAAAAATTTAAATTAATGTGATTTTTCAACATCTAGCATTTGTCATAATAAATTGATTAAAAAATAACGCTAATAGTATTTTATTTGTTTCATTATACCCCTAAGATGTACTCTCTCTGTCTCAAATGATTGTCCAGTTTGGATTTTTAATTTTAGTACTATTTGGACTAAAAATAAAAATTTAAACTAGATAATTATTTTGAGACGGAGAAACTAATATTTTAAGCCTCAATGAATTTTACATTATTATTATCATGAAATGGAGAGTATCATGATACAAATTTCCACTGTACTAAAAAAAAATGCAAATCAATGTAACACGCGCTAATGCACTTGACATCTTTAACAGGGAATGATAACCATCACAATCACCGCATTTATGCCATCATTTCGTCCACCTCCATGCCCAACTCAACAAAACTGCAAAGAAGCTTCAACCCTCCAAATGGGTATACTCTACATTGCCCTGCTTTTGCAATGCATCGGAACCGGCGGAATCCGGCCGTGCGTCGTGAGTTTCGGAGCTGACCAATTAGACATGTCCAAAGCCAAAGTTGAGGCAAGGAAATGGAACCTCTTCAACTGGTATTACCTGTCCTTAGGAATGGCTACGTTGCTGGCATTGACAGTTTTGGTGTATGTTCAAGACAATGTGGATTGGGGATGGGGACTTGGGATCCCAACAATTGCTCTGAGTTTGTCGATTTTATTGTTCGTTTTGGTTTCTCCTCTGTATATAAAGAAAAAACCACAAGGAAGCCCGTTCACTAGATTGGCACAAGTGATTGTTGCTGCTTTCAGGAAGAGGGATTTTCCAGCACCAAATGATCCAGCTCTGCTTTATCAGAACAAGGAGCTTGATGCTTCTATTTCAGTCAATGGAAGGCTTCAACACACGAATCAATTCAGGTACATTTTGGTGTTTGATTTATCAACTATCTGATTTGTTATTTTTTTTTTTTTTTGGTGAAAGGTTAATATATATATTAACTTCTCAACTTTTTTTCTCAGATTATAAACTTTCATCTATTACATCAAAACTGTCGCACAGCAAGCTATCTGATTTGTTTTTTTAGCTCTTGAATATGACCAATTTTTGTAATGTTATAAGGTGGCTGGATCGAGCAGCTATAGTAACTGAAGCTGATAAAGACATTTGGAACACACCTAAAGCATGGAGATTATCTACAGTTCACAGAGTTGAAGAGCTGAAATCCATGGTAAGGATTTTGCCTATTTGGGGAGCAGCGATTTTACTATTCGCATCCTACGCCAGTCAGCACAACTTTGCTGTTCTTCAAGGTCGAACAATGGATCGTCATTTTGCAGGCTCGTTATCCATCCCTCCGGCGAGCTTAACAATATTCGGGGTTGCTGGTTTGATCATCGGAATAGCCTTCTACGAGCGCCTTTTCGTCCCCTGTGTTCGCCGATTCACACACATTCCCACGGGAATTACACATCTTCAAAGAATTGGGATCGGCCTCGCGCTCAACATCTTCGTGAGTATTATCTCGGCTGTAGTTGAGATCAAGAGGAAACAAGTAGCTGCTGATCATGGTTTGATTGAAAAGCCAAATGCTGTCATCCCAATCAGCGTTTTTTGGTTATCGCCGCAGTTTTTCCTCCACGGAATTGGCGAAGTTTTCATGCAAGTTGGACTAATGGAATTTATTTATGATCAATCCCCAGAAAGCATGAAAAGCACAGCCATTGCACTCTACTCTCTGGCCTTGTCACTAGGGAATTACTTGGGCACTTCGTTGGTGGCTTTCGTGCATGATCATACGGGTAAAGAAGGGAATTGGCTGCCAGATCGAAATCTAAACAAGGGAAAACTGGATTATTACTTTTGGCTGATGACAGGAATCCAAGTAGTGAATTTCATCTACTATGTAATATGTGCTTGGCATTACACTTACAAACCCTTGGAAATGTTGAACGAAAATGAAAGTGAAGTTTCATCGAGTTAAGAGTTCACTTCAGAATTGGTTCATCTCCAAGGGAAAATGTACAGATAATACATATATTTGGTAAATACTTGTAACTTTGTCCAATTTTCTTTCATTTGTTCCCTTTGTTTCCCCTGAAAACTTAATCACTTTGTAATATGTTATGCATAATGGCTATAGTAATGTAAATCTTACCCGAATATATCAGGGTTGTTAACCTCCCATAATGGCAATTCATGAAGAAGTCCATCCGCACTAAATCTGAACACCACCTAACTTCCGCAATCCAAGAAATTTATCTCCAGTCCTGGCACGAAGCTAAAGATTGGTATCCCTAACAATCATCATTCTAAAATGAAGAGCTTTACTTACAAAGAGACCTGCTGATTTCCTACACAACTCAAGCACACCAATAAGAATCTATGGACCAAGCAGTTGTTCCCTTCTGACACTGAACACCTAACTTATAAGAATACTTTCAATTCTTACAACATAATTCAAATAAAAATTTCTTAGATGCATAGAACACTTTTCTTGAGTTTCTGCTAATCTATGACACAATAAGAAAGAAAAAGAAAAAACTTTTGAAGCCATGAATAACTGTGATCTGTTCCAAATAAATGGTCACCCAAACGGAGAAGGTGCCAAGAGACAAGCTACAAAGAAAGCTAATATTAAGGTTGAAACAAAATGAAAAGCCCTGAAGGGCCACAAACTTGACTGCTTTGCCAAGAACTTTAAATATTCGTCCGTCCTTCCAATGCTAAAGTAACAGTACGCAAAGAACAGCCAACCAAACTTGAATTCAGATCCCGTGTCCAGCAAAGGGACAACACATGGAGGAAAGTCAGGTCCAGCAAGTGAATAAAACGCAAATATGTGAGCTGAATGGTCTGTTGGGCCCAGGTTCCCCTCAAATTGGGCCAGCAACAAAGAAAAGGAAATAAGATAAAATAATAAAATAATAAAACCAAGTCCAATTTGGTTTTGTTTTTTGGGGTTTGGCATGGCTTATATGAAGCCTTGGCTTCCTTGGTTTTTATGTGTGCTTTTGGACGCGTGTTTTCAGCCAAGAAGAGAAGAAAAGTTTAGGCAGCCGTGCATTGTTTTTGTACGAGAGAAAAAGAAAGGAAACTAGGGTTTAGTTTTCGGTTTAGCTCTCTTTTGGTTAGATCCTTCCAGTCCTACTTTGTGATAGGTGTGTTTCGAAGAGTATTGTTGTAATTCACCTTTGGGTGAAGTCCTGTGTATCCACCTGTTGGTGAAGACTGTTTTCCCATTCTTGTGATAGTGGAGATTTGATTGTTGTTGCAGCCACATAGTTTTTCCCGATTTGGGTTTTTACGTAAATCCGTGTCTACGTTACTTATCAGTTCTTGAAATTATTTGCTTGTTTGGTTGGTTGTTCTATTTTATTGTTAGTAGGAAAAGAGTTTTTCTTGGGAATCGTTTCCACTGGATTGTTGTGTTTATACCCTTTTCGCCACAACAGTGGCATCAGAGCTACGATTCGGTAGTTGAGGTGTTACACCAATAAAATAGAAGAGTCATCGGGTGCTGGTACGATGATTAAATTAACTTCATCCAATTATCATATGTGGAAACCTAGAATGGAAGATTTTTTGTATTGCAAGGATTTGTTTGATCCTGTTATAAGGGATGAAGGTAGGCCAAGTAATATGACTGATAAAAAGTGGGCTGATATGCATAGGAAGACTGTTGGTAATATTCGACAGTGGATTTTTCAAAGTGTGTTTCATCACTTTTCGGGAGAAACAAAAGCTGATGAACTTTGGGAGAAAATCCAAGAATATGTACTGGAAGAAGTCTGGCATCAATAAGTCATCTGCGCTGAAACAGATTACCAGGTTGAGGTAGAAAGATGGTGCTAGCATGAATGAGCACTTGAGTTCATTTCAGGGTTTGTTGAACCAAGCTGTGAATGTAGGTTTAAAGTTGGATGATGAGGTGCAGGCTTTGTTATTGTTTAGTTCTCTTCCAGATAGTTGGGACACTTTGGTAGTGTCAATCAGTAATTCAACCTAGGATGGTGTTTTGACCTTGGATCAGGTCAAAGAGGCTTTGATGAATGAAGAAGTCAGAAGAAAAGAGCAGAGTATTGAGTCTGAGTCGCAGGCTCTGATGACAGAAAAGTCAGACATAAGAGGAAGAAGTAAAAGCAGAGGGCCACGTGATCGGAATGACAAGTTCAGGGGACGGTCTAAATCCAAGAAAGATATCGTGTGCTACCATTGTCAAGGGAATGGGCACTTTAAGAGGGAGTGCAGGGTTCTCAAGAGAGAACTAGCAGCGAGAAAAAGTAAAGGTAAGAAGGATGAATCAAGTGATGATGACACTACTGCAGTAGTAACTACCAGTGATGTATTTGTATACTGTGATGATGATACAATTAATGTTGCGAGTCACGACAGTGATTAATTCGGTGATTCAGGTGCATTTTATCATGTGATGCCTCACAGACACTTTTTTACCTCTTACACACCTGCAGATTTTGGTCGTGTAAGAATGGACAACCAAGCCTCATGCGATGTTATCGGCATGGGAGAGGTATCATTGGTAACTAATACAGGTTGTACTCCTGTCTTGAAGAATGTAAGACATGTTCCGGATATGCATCTGAACCTTATTTCCATTGGTAAACTTGATGATGAGGGTTATCATGGCACTGAAGATGGTGGCCGTTGGATAATTACCAGAGGGAATCTTGTTATTGCTAGAGGAATGAAGTTGAACTCTTTGTATGTTGAATGAAAAGTTGAAGAATGGAGAGGTGAATGTGACTCACAATGCCTCCATTGATCTCTGGCACAGAAGGCTTGGACACATGAGGACACATGAGTGTTAAGGGGTTTCAGATTTTTGGTAAGAAGCAATTTCTCCCAGAAGTGAAAGGTACTGCTCTAGAATCTTGTGTTGACTGTATCTATGGTAAACAACATAGGGTTTCCTTTCAAAATTCTCCTCCATCTAGAAAGTCCAGTCCTCTAGAGTTAGTTCATACAGATGTATGTTACATTAAAGATAGGTCGTTGGGTGGAGCATTGTACTTTGTTACTTTCATTGATAACTATGCTCGAAAGGTTTGGTGTTTTTCTTTGAAATCTAAAGATCAGGTATTAGATGTGTTCAAAGACTTTCACCTTAGAGTTGAACGAGAGACTGGCAAGAAGTTGAAGTGTGTTCGAGCAAATAATGGTAGTGAGTACAGGGGTTCGTTTGAGAAGTATTGCCGAGACCATGGCATTAAACTTCAGAATAGTTTCTGAAGACTCCGTAGCAGAATAGCATGGCAGAAAGAATGAACAGAACTATTACCAAAAAGGTTAGGTGTATGCTCTCGAATGCAAAGATGCCTAAATCTTTTTGGGGTGAAGCCATGCAGACAGCAGTTGATTTGATCAACCTATCTCCCTCAGTTCCGTTGGATGATGATCTACCACAATGAGTTTGGACAGGGAAAGATGTCTCATTTAGACATTTGCGAGTTTTTTGTTGTCGTGCCTTTGTTCATATTCCCAAAGATGAAAAGTCGAAGCTTGATGGCAAATCCAAGTAGTGTGTATTCTTGGAGTATGGAAATGATAATTTTGGGTACAGACTTTGGGATCCTGTAGAGAAGAAAGTTTTCAGAAGCAGAGATGTGATCTTCTTTGAAGACCAGACCATTGATGATATGGGAAAAGGCGAGATGCCAGAATCTTCACCTAAGATTCCTGTTGATCTAGATCCAGTTCCTCCACTATCAGATGATTCTCCTGAAGGGGAAGCTGAGACAGAGCAGGATGGTGAGTTTGATGATGATCCTGTTACTGAAACAGAGACACTAATTATTTCATCACCTCCTGTTCAGCCTAGGAGGTCCACCAGAGACAAGAGACCTTCCACCAGGTACAGTGCTCATGAGTATTTGTTGCTTACTGATGGGGGAGAGCCAGAGTCGTATGAAGAGGTTCTTAGTCATGAGCAGAAAGATCAGTGGTTAGCAGCCATGCAAGATGAGATCAAATCCTTGCATGAGAATAACACGTATGACCTGGTGAAGCTGCCTAAGGGCAAGAGAGCACTCAAGAATAAATGGGTGTTTAGAGTAAAAACAAGTGAGAACAGCTCACAACCGAGATACAAAGCCAGATTGGTTGTGAAGGGATTCAATCAGAGAAAGGGCGTAGACTTTGATGAGATATTCTCTCCTGTTGTAAAGATGTCTTCAATCTGAGTTGTGCTTGGAATAGCAGCCATCTTGAATCTTGAGATTGAACAGCTTGATGTGAACACAGCTTTCCTACATGGTGATTTGGAAGAAGAGATTTACATGGAGCAACCAGATGGGTTTCAGGAGAAGGGGAAAGAGAAGCTTGTATGTCGTCTCAACAAAAGCTTGTATGGGTTGAAGCAAGCTGTAAGCCAATGGTACAAGAAGTTTGATGCCTTTATGATAAGGCATGGATACCAAAGGACTACAGCTGATCACTGTGTGTTTGTGAAGAAATTCTCTGATTGTGATTTTATAATCCTGTTGCTTTATGTCGATGACATGTTGATTGTTGGTCATCATAGTGCAAAGATTGCCAAGTTGAAAAAAGAGTTGAATAAATCCTTTGCAATGAAGGATTTGGGTCCGGCTAGACAGATCATTGGGATGAAGATTTCTCGTGACAGATGATAATGGTTAAATTGTTACATAAAAGCATCACAATTAACTCTGTATTTGATAGGAAATTGGGGGTATTTCCTAACATTGGTGCAATTTACTTAACTTGTCTTCATGTTGTTGTTAGGTAAGGGCTGGATTGAATAATTGCTGAAAATTGGAGGCCAAGGGAACAATTTATGGGCTGCTGAGGCAATGCTGCTGAGCTGGACGAAGAAGAAGGCCCTTAGACAAGAAGCATCTTGGCATTAATGACTATGCTTCCTCCAAGAGGCATGCTTGTCCCCCAGCCGCAATCTCAGCCACCTCTGCTGATCAATGAGAGCAAGGCTGCCACTACTGGAAGAAGAGAAAAAGAACGGCCAAGTTGGATTGTAGGCTCAAGACATTGGGAAGATTAAACAACTACAAGCATGGGAAGGCTCTCATGAAAAAGAAACCGGTTGCAAGGTCCTATAAAAGAGTGAAACTGCACTCTCAAAAGATATCAAGCTCTATCTCAATCCCTGGTTACCCTTTCAGTTGCAAAAAACACCCAGAAAAACTCCAGGTAGAGGGCAAGAAAGAAGAAGAAGCAGCAACAACTCAGTGAGGAAGCCAAGTTGAAGAGTAGCAACCCAGTTTCTGCTTCAATTCCACGAGTGAACCCTTTCACTCCCAGGAGTGGCTCAAAAACTGCACAAGCTTTTTTCTCGTCTCTTGACTGTTAGCTTGAACTTTGTTTATTATGCATACTTCTATGATGTCTTTTGATGTAGTAGATGTAGCATTAATCTGTATGAGTAGGTAAATAGTTCCCAGGGATTATTCTCCTCAACTGATGTTGTAGTTGTTAAAGCACTGGTTTTGTTCCTTGTTTTATGGTTGAAAGTTTTTCTACATTCATTTACTTGATCACTAAATTGAATGCATGCTAGAACTAAGGGAGATCTGGAAAGATAAACTTGGTTTGGATTGTTTCAACTTTAACTTATGACATAGAGGTAACAGTCTATGATTTTAACTAAGATAGGAATATATTTAGTTGA